CAAGCACATACGCTTCAATGTAAGCGGGCTTCACTAAGAGTTACATTTCTCTGTACTCAAAAATATGCAACATTCTCACCTTGGTTTCAAATGTAAAATATTGCTTAGTTCAACAACAACAAATGGTTAAATGTACAGGAAATTGATCCTACTCACCTGAGCTTTTACACTGTTATCAGCACACTGTTATCTGTTTCTGCCTCTCTGTTGTTCAGACCAAAGTCTTGCAGGTGAAGCAGAGATCAGATTTTTCTCGTTCAGGCCAGTGGGATGTTGAGACTGAGGACAAGGATGGCAAAAAAAAGAAACACATTTTTGATGCTGTGATGATCTGTATTGGACATCACTGCCACCCAAACATGCCACTACATGACTTCCCAGGTACCACTGACTGAGATTATAAATATCCAGAATCAACCTTTGACACAGTATGAACAAGGCTCTAATGACAACCCTGTACAATGTTGTTACATAATGCTTCATCAACAGAAAGCAGCAACACCACTTGAAAATCTTCTTGTAACAGTTCAGAAGCACTTTATCCAGCAGTCACAAGCATTTACCGTCTTTTTTTTTTCAGGCATTGACACTTTCAAGGGAAAGTATTTCCACAGCCGAGATTACAAGACTCCGGAGGAGTGGAGGAATAAAAAGGTGGTAGTGATTGGAATAGGAAACTCTGGGGGAGACATCGCAGTGGAGCTGAGCAGAGTCACCAAGCAGGTTTGGATGAGATAGATTCACATAGATTACATTACATGTGTCTGAAAATTAACTTTTTTGCAACAGCTTTACAATAAAATCCAGTAGATTAAATAGCACCAGCAGACAATCAAATAATTTGGAAGTTACTTTGAAGATAAAATTGAAAAAGAAATTTAAAAAATTAAAAATGCAAGCTATGTTACAGGTTACAGAGTGATAAAATCCCTTATTTTGAGTCCATATTTACATTTTATTTCACATAAAAAATATTTTAGGGATGCATGATATATATCAGGGCTGATAAATGATTGGTTGATAATGGGAAAGTTATATTATGTATTTTTTATGTATTATTCTGATAATGGTTGTAATCGCACATGACAGCTTATAACAAGATTTCTAAAGTATTATAAGCGGTGGACGTAATGTATTGTAAGTTCACATTCATAATGCTTTATACCTCCAAGTCAAAGTGACTACAGTGTTTGAAAGAAGTGATGTATTAGATTTGTTTTGGTCAGAGCTATGAAATATTAAATCATCCTCCTTGCTACATCTTAGTCGTTCATAACAAGACCGTTAGTGAGGTTACTGCTATCGAATGAAAAAAATACATATTGTGCATCCCTACAAATTTAGTAAACTATCAATATAAAATAAAGATTTATAACGTACCACCATAATGACTGACGACCATGTATTCTCTTCCCAGCTGTACCTGAGCACTCGAAGGGGAGCATGGATTCTGAACCGAGTTGGGGAAAACGGGGTGCCCCTCGATCTGGGTTTTAACAGGGTGATAAATTCTGTGCAGAAAATCCTTCCCTTTCATTTTTTCTGTGGCCTGGCAGAGAACCAACTCAACCAAAGATTTGACCACTCTCTGTACAATCTTAAGCCAAAGCACAGGTACTGTATTTGTATTTGTTTTTACAATTACTTCTATAGCATAGCTTCACCAAACAGCTTTTGAACTAGAATATGTTTTTTTCCCTGCAAATGGCAGACTGTCTGACTCTGTCCACCCAATGCTTTTGTCCAGACAAAGATATCTTAACAACTTTGCCAGAGTAGCTGGGACGTTTGATGTAGTTGTTCATGGTCTGTGCTGCCCCATGGCATTTCCTAGGGCCAATATCAGGACAGGAATACTTTCATACTAAAACAGAGGTTTTCAAACTGTGAGCTTAAAGAAGAGGTGTGGAGGGAGAGAGATAAGGCAAAGACACTGCATGAGGTGAAAGATACAGGTGCATGCCTAAAAACAGCCTGAAGTCAGTTATTATAGTTTGTCGGGCTCATATGACCCGCTTATCAACATGGTCAGGAGCTGGAATAAAGGCACTGTAAAACCCTCAGTGCTCGATTGACGCAGATTGACGTATAATGTCACTACTGGACTGTGTTTCCTTGTTTGAGATAAAATACTTGTGGTATTCTTAAGATTTTAGCATCATAACTAACCAGTGTGAATATAAATCTCAGGTTGTTCGAGCCAACATCGCACCCGTGAATATGAGCTTCCCCAACCGCATATCCTCTCTGGAACGGTTCAGATGAAGCCCAACATCCGCAGATTTCAGGGGTCCCAGTGTGAGTTTTGATGGATTGGGAGTGTTTCTAGTGCGTGTGGGCGCGGCGGGGGGTTTTGTTTCTTTCTTTTTTCCGACGTTTGACCTGGTGGTAAAGTATTTCTGTTACCACTCACGCCACATGCAGCTGCACAGCACTATTCTTCTGTGCCTTCTTATAGACCGCAGTATAGGTGGCCTAGTGTGGTCACTGTGAGTCCTCTGTCTTGCAGGGTGTTGCCACAGGTTACAGTTTTCCTTTCCATTCGCCTGGCCTCACATGTGGTTGCAGGCCTCTGAGAACAAACATCTCCTGTTAAAGTTATGTGTTTTCTCCCTGAAGTTTGGACCGTTTCCACTCTAAGGGTATCAGTTGGTTTCAGTGTGCAGCCACTTGGGGGGCCATTATGCCCCATCTTCTGCAGATGCCAAGCCCAGAACTGGGCACACGTGTCTGTTAAAGTAACACAGATTCTGTAAAAAAATGCAAGCTTTTTTCTCATCCACCATTCCCTTTTTATTTTGTGTTTTAAAAGGGCAAAGCCAACTGTGTCACAATGTGCTCCTCTCATATAGGCCTGGCCATCAAGCTTCCCTCAGTGGCTTCGATTTGCTAAAAAGACATCCCCAATGCAAGCCAAGAGGCAAGTGGCTAGAAAGGTGACTGCAGTGGATGCCTTACTCCCAACGTTTGGATGTACATACATATTTTTGGTCTCTGGATCCAAATCTTGTTATCCACAACATGTTTAATTTGGGTCTCTTTTTCAGTGTATGTCCACCAGTCAGAGCACACACCATCCCAAGTGGACTACGTGAGCTACATGGATCTGAGATAAGCCAGAGCTGGGTGGGGGTTCAGCCCCGAACATTTCAAAGGATGCTGCTGGGAAACCTGATCCTAAGCTGCCGACTGAAAGTGATGTTCGGCCCTTGCACGCCGTACCAGTACCGTCTCAGAGGGCCAGGGAAGTGGGCTGGAGCCCGTCAAGCCATCCTCACTCAGTGGGAGAGAGTGGCTCAACCCATGCAGACGAGGCCCTGTGATGAGCCCAAATGCAAGAGATCATTTATGTGGCCTCTGATGCTGTCAGCTGCTGGTGTGGGCTTGGCTGTCTACATTAACAGGAACAACCTTCCAGCTTTCTTACAAGATCCCACTGCACTGTTGGACAAGATAAAAGCGTACCTGCCTGCTCAGTGATGTACAATTCATACTTGTTCAATATCAGCTGTGACTGCTCTTTTAACACGTTCATCATACAGCACCTATGTACAATTTCTACACTGTACTTCCCAAATTCCTGAAAGAGACTATACTAAGATCTGTCAATCATGCTGACTCATGGTGGCTTCAAAGGGCAACTGATATTATATTTTGCTAAAAATTAAAGTTGAGCGAGTACTCGACTGAAATGAGTGTCAGGTATGGATAGCGTACTTTTTACGAATTTGATTAACATCAGAGTAAAATGTGTCCATATCTGTTTTCTAATAAAAAGTAATTAAATTTAAAAAACGTTATCTTACTCAAAACATTGCTCTAAAGCTTAATTCTAAGGGCTTCTCTGTAAATAGTTTTGTAATAAATGTAGCAACTTCTGATGAACCAATATCAATTTCAGGCTTAAATTAACAACATCTGGTTACTAGTGGATGTAGATAATTTAGTTGGTTGAACAGATACACGTAGGCTTAATGGTGTACTCCTTTATCCCTACCAAAAACATTGTGTGATTGCTAGGGCTTACTGGGATCTCAGACTTCTTAGTAAAGCTATATACTCATACTAGTTGAATAGCTTTTAATCTACGGCTTTTATTTGTTTATTCATACTTGTACAATCTCCAAATGCATATTGTCCTTGTTTTTCACTGTATAGTCTTAAGAACATATGATTACAAGGATCGCTCTCTGAGGTCTCTCTAATTAGTTTGGAGTATTTAACAATGACTACATACCCCACGTTGCAAATCATTGATGACTGATGATTTACTATGGCTTAATTTGCAATACTAGAACACGAAGTTAAGCATTACCAAGAGGTAATGATGGTGTATTTGTTGTTATTATTTTTTAAATGTTGTTTATATTAATATAATTGTTAACTAATTCATATGTAACTTCCATCTTCCTGTTTCTTTCTACAGTACAGTGTAAAAGTGGATCACATCAATTTTTGATACTGTATTTTTACCAAAAACTAACTCTTACCCTTCATTACATCCCTGGCTGGAAACTGATATAAAGATAAATTAAAAATAAAAAAATGATTTTATTTTCTAAAGATTTGTTTGATAATGTTGTTTGTTAAACAAGCCTATATTTTCAGTTCAGACCAGATAATAAAATATCTAAAAGTCAAAACGTTTGATGAATTTTGTTGTGAATACTGAATAATTAAATTGAATAATAAAATATTGATTCGGCCCCCAGAGAATAATTCTAATGTGTTTTAATTATGTTGGAGGTAAGGTTTAAAAAACAAACAGCTACAGCCAGACTGTTATCTAACCCACAGCACTGGGTGATAAGTCAGTACAAGCATAGAGTAGTTTAAACATTGCCATTACCTTATGGGTACTGCCAAGGTTTAACAGAGTCTGTGATAGGGAGATGGCTCAAATGAGGTCAGTGTCCTAAGATTCATGTAGTCAATAAGAAAGACTTTTGTAACTGCACTGTTGTGATAAAGGTCAGATTACTGCACTGTGCCCCTCATTCTGTGCAAGTGAGATTTCTCTTTTACATCACAACAGGTAAGTGATTTGCAGAACTGCATGGAAAGTGGATTTGGTTGATTTGGTTTTGAGCAAAATAACGAGAGGGTGGGTCAGATTGTGTAGGTTTTCAAAAAAATTGGTTTATGTTTATTTGTTTTCCTCCTTAAAATGGGCCATCTAAACAAGTAAACTAAAACCAGATAACAAGGCAGTCTGATCTTATCTGCAGCCTGCACAACCTCACAGGAGCACGCAGAAGGTTTTTGAAGCATTTTTGGAATTGAATATTAAGTATTAAGGAATTTGAAAAAAAAAGTTCTGCACAGAGGAAAGGCACATTTCCAGTTGTGTTTCCTGCAGTGTGCAATGTTTCCTGCAATAAACCTATATGTTATAAGCATGAGAGTTTAGAGTAATTTAATATCTGTAAGATAATGAGGCTACTACATGACTTGGTAAAATGTCTTTCCAAAATGTAGCTTATCAACTTTTGGTTAATCAGTTCTATTTGTAGGCTACAGGTTGTCTTTCAACACTGGTTACAAATTAAATTATGCCATAAAAACTAAATCTCCTCAGAAATCATTAAAATGCCAGATAGCCTTTCACTTTTTCACTCTGCAAGGTCCTACGAGGTGCGTCGTCCGCTTTCATGGTGGTGAAGATGGTCAGTAATCCAAAAATCTAAACAAAAACCTCAAAGGAATTATACGTGTGTTTTTGTTGTTTGTTGTTGTTGTTGTTGTTGTTGTGTTTTATTTGATTTCCCACTTCAATATGAGATCCAGATGCCCACAAAAATCAAAATTCAGACCTGTTTCTTGTGTTGATTTTCAGATTTAATGAAATAATTGAGTGAAGGGATAATAACATTTGTTTTCAAGAAGTCTGCACGTTTAGAAGTTGTTACTTACAGTAGTTATCCCAAATTGTCTTTATGTATTAAATCTGTGTAATTTGACAGAAGTTTGATCTTTTCACAGTCAGGGATTTATTTTCCACAGAGGAGACTTATATGTTCAAGACTGCTTACACATTTAATATATGGAGGTTATACTGATTTAATTTGGTGATGACTTATGATGTTTAATATAAAATAACAAACAAGTTCTCTATAGGGTCTATATTTAGCTATTGACCTAAAGAGAACAGACATAAATAATTACAATCATTTTTCTACAGATGTTTGGTCATAGTGACTAATGCACTGATTTATTAAAATTCTTATGCTAATAGCAGCAATTTCTTTATAAAAAAAAACAAAGTTATGTAAAGGGTTTTCTGATGACATTCTGGTGGTCATAAAACTATTCAATAGCTCAGTAGATAGGAGGATTACTGTTGCTGTTTCACATTAACATTTTATGACCATGGTTACTTATTTTGTGGGATGTGAGTGGAGCAAACTGTGTTTCAAATTGTTTCTACATATACACATTAACTTACAATATGATGAATTATGTGGAATATGTCAAACATCTAAGTAATCCATGCTGAATGTATAAGCAACAGGTTACTAGTCCATAACAGACAGACATCGTCTCTTGGTGCTGGCCAACCTTCTCTAACATTTTGTTTGTTGCTTCATGAATGTAACTTTTTCTTAATCAAAACAAAACATTTTTCAGACTAATGTGGT